CTGAACGCCCAGAGCTCTCAGCTCGGCGGCTGCATCGAGAAAGCCAGGCCGTACTACGAAGCCCGCCGCCTCGCTAAGGAGGTACGGATCAATACACCTCGTCTCAAACTGTGTGTGTGTGTGTGTGTGAGAGAGAGAGTGTGTGTGTGTGAGAGAGAGTGTGTGTGTGTGTGTGGTGCGGGGGGGGGGAGTATGCGGGGAGTATGGGGGGGGGGGGGGGGGGGGTGTTAGCAAAGTGCTGCTGTCTCCCAGAATCAGGCCAGCCGGCCTGCTGGGATCTCCAGACCTTTTACTGCTGTCTGCAGAGTCCAACCGTTCATATTGAAATGATGTTTGAAAATACATACATCAGTCTGAAGGAGCAGGAGCATCATAGGCTAGAATGTTGGAGAAATTAATTTGTCGTAAATTTGCAGGGAAAAATAATTCAAAATGCATTAATTTACGATCTGAAAACTATGTTGAGGTCTTGAAGTCGGACATTTGCGCTAAAAGATGTCAGAGGTTCTGGAGACGTTCCAGTTTGGTGTTTGATCTGTTCTGGTACAAATGGATTCATCCACGACTCTGGTGAAGAGAAATTGTCTTTTATTGTAATTATTTGACATGAGAGTATCCACTCCTTACCTGTTGGTTTTAATTTTAAAATGTTTTTACTGAGTCAGGTGATAAAAGGTCACGATCCACCTTCAATGTTCCAATCTTATTGTATTGATAAACCTTGAATAAAACCAGTGAAACAAACTTGTGTTGCTATGGAACATAAAGGAAAACTACTGAATAAACTAAAACAATCCTCTAGTTTGTCATTTCTTACATTTTTTGATCCGTCTCTCAGAAGAGTGGATTATTTTCAGACCTCTGAGAAGATTGATGGGATCTGCTGATTGATCGTTTCGCCTCTGATTGAGCTCAGCAGATCAACCTGCTGCTCGGCAGAATCTCCTCTGGCTCTTCAGACTTTTGGCCAAACATGTAAAGTTAATAAATAATGCAGGTGAATTTTCATGTAAAATATGCAGAATATCATTTATCAGGGTGAAGATTATTCAGCAGTAGTGGTAGTATGCTTTTTCTGCCTTTAAAAAAAACAACTTAAACAGTATGAAGTGTTTCTGTTTTGTGTTCATGGTAAGGCTCCACAGTATAACGTCATAGCAACACCTAGCATAGACATCTCAAAGGTCGGTGAGGGAGCGTTGGTTGAACTTCCTGCTTCCCTCAGGCGCAGCAGGAGACGCAGAAGGCGGCGCTGAGTTATGAGCGCGCCGTTTCCATGCACACGGCTGCCAGGGAGATGGTTTACGTGGCGGAGCAGGGCTGATGGCTGACGGCAAGAACACGCTGGACCCCACCTGGCAGGAGATGCTCAACCACGCCACCTCCAAGGTAAACACACACACACCAACACACACACACACACACGCAGCCAGCGCCCTGCCGGTCTCAGAACATCAAACCCGGAGCGATGCGAAAAACGGCTGCAGCTTCCCGGGTCGTCGGATCAGACCGTCCGAGCGTCTGCTGGACGGTCAGAACCAGAACCTGGTGGAAACATGTCGACAGCATCTCACCTGGGGTGACCAGGACCAGAACCGCTCCGTTGATCCCAGAGTCTGGAGGAAGAGTGGAGAGAAGCAGAACCAGAACCTCCACGCTGTGCCGCTTTGATGATCCTCACATTCTGTTCAAATGACATTTTTTGTTGATCTGATTGAGATGAATCTTGTTTTCCATTAAAACGATTCAATAACAGAAATAATTGCTTTAAATATTTGAGTGTAAATACTGAGCAGAATCTGTTTCATAAATTAGATATAAATGACTGAAACACGGAGGCAAAATTCAGTTCTGGATTTATTAGACCAGTGTGACGGGATAGCCCCGCCCCCAGACAAATGTAGAAAAATCCCACCATAGTGGGCGGAGCCACAAGTTGCAGGGGCGTGGCTAAGTGTAGAGACGAATGGGGAACGTCATGAGGGACGAAGCAATCTCAGTGATTGTCGATACATTGAGCAAGATTTCAGACACTTGGACTTTTTAAGCAACAAATCGAGTGACTTCTCTGACGTGAGGCATCAATCCCTGCAGCTGAGTGAGCAGCGGGTTCTGCCTGTGGTCAGGAAGGTCCAGCATAGCGCTGGTCTTACTCCTGCCTCTCCACCAGGGGGCGTTCCTGGACCAGGGCTGGACGGCAATACCACCGTTCAACCCAAAGAGGGCAGCACTGAGACAGTTGTAGGCCAAAAATTGCAGTATTTATATGAAAATATCACAATTTGCACAGAATCACAAAATAGATCCCTTAATAAGAAATTATACATTTTATTTGCAATAAAAGGTTGATTTGGACTTTTATTTCATCTTTAACTTCAGCAGAACTCGTTCGGTTGTTCTCCGTTTGTCCTGCAGGTGAACGAAGCCGAGGAGGAACGGATCCGCAGCGAGCGGGAACACATGCGCGTCACACACGCCTGCCAGGAGGCCGAGGCCCGGGTCCAGACCCTGCAGAAGTCCCTGAAGCGGGTCATCGTCAAGTCCAAGCCCTACTTCGAGCTCAAGTCCCAACTCAACCACATCCTGGAGGTACAGCGGGCCGGAGTGGGTTCTGAGACCGAGAACACACACGGTCATCAGCGCCTGGTGACGGGTTCACACTGGAGCTGATCCATTAAAACTGTTTGAACTGTGTGTGTGTGTGTGTGTGTTTCTGTGTGTGTGGGGTGTTTCTGTGTGTGTGTGTGTGTGTATGTGTGTGTGTGTGTGTGTTTCTGTGTGTGTGTGTGTGTGTGTGTGTGTGTGTGTGTGTGTGTGTGTGTGGTCAGGATCATAAGACGAAGGTCCTACAGCTGGAGCACAACGTCTCCAAGGTGAAGACTCGTTACTCCGTCGCTCTGAGGAACCTGGAGCAGATCAGTGAACAGATCCACGCCCAGAGGGGTCGCGACCCGACCGACTGCCCACCCGCAGCCCCCGTCGGCGCCGAGTCCGAGGCCCGCGTCCTGGAGGACGACGCGGCCTGCGGAGCCGCCGCCAAGGAGCGTCTGGATGGCGGCTTGGACCTGGCGGAGCGGGAGCGGGCCGGGTCCGACTCGCTGTCCGTCTTCAGCCTGCAGACCATCGCCTCGGACTTGGAGAAGTACGACTCGGTGGAGCACCTGGGCGACCTGGGCGACCTGAGCGACGTGGGCAGCATGACTGGAGACGAGGCGGAGCGGGACCGGGCCAGGACACGGGACCCTGCGGCACCGAGCGGCGCCAGGGAGCGCCAGCAGAACTTCTCCAAGCAGCACCACCGCAGCTTCAGTCTGTGAGCCGGGACTAGATCAGGAGCCGGGACCGGGATGGAAACAAACCAGAACGAGCTTTAACCGACCCGATTAACCCTGCAGCCTCAGTAGAACCCGGTTTACCCGGCAGCCTCAGTAGAAACACTACAGCAGAACCTTTCAGATGGTCTAGCATGACGAAACCATCAGAACCTTACAATCCCTGTTTGTTTTATTTTCCCAGATTCTGGTCCGGTCCAGTGCGGTCCGGTCCAGCGGTCCGGTCGGACCTGTGGAGCACCGTGTCCTCCGAGTCCTGGCAGGCCGAAAGCTAACCGGGTCACCCGGACCCGGCAGAGCCTGGCACTGGACTGAAAGGCTTGGTTCTGTCTGCAGCTGCAGGAGCGTGTTTTGATCGGTCCTGAGATTCCGGTCCAGGTTTTAGAATCAACCTTTTATTTAAATGATGTGAAGTCAGATTTGTGTTATTTAAAATATTGTTTACATGGATTTTTGTTTGCCTTACAAACAAAAGAAGCTCCTGTTGTGACTTGATGTGTGCCTTGACACTTTAACGCTTCTGGTTCCAACTAATCGAACTTTATGTTCCAGACAAAAGTTTTTATTTGACGACTGAAACGTCTAAAAAATTGAAGTGGAACAACCTGTAAATGTTTGTAATTATTCAGATGGAGAATATTTAAATGTGTTTGATGATGATCATCTGTAAATGTGACTCTGCTTCCTGATTTATGCATCAATAAATCTCATCTTTGACTCCTGAATGTGTTTTTATCAATCTGGATTTGAAGAAACGATGTGAACAGTTTAAGATTCAAACTGCAGACAAACACAAAAAATACACAATGTGGGTTCTATGCATTACAGCCCTGATGTTCATTCTACATCGCAAAATTCTGGTTTAGAAAAAGTCATCCCACAGCATAATGCTGCCACCACTGTGTTTCATTGGTTGTTTTTGTCCAGAAATGTGGAGAATATGAACTAAAACCAATTCAGTTTAATATAAAACCGATTCATAACAGATGTGACGGTCCAATCCGTTTAATATTCAATCATGTTGACAGATTCAAACTCAGTTCTGTTTAGAGCTGACTGGTGAACTTCAGTTTTAACAGAATTATTGTAAAAATTATTTTTCTATTAAAGAATAGAAATATTCTTTATTGTCCCTCTAATTGTACATTGTTATAAAATATAAATTAAAATAGCATATTGGAAATAGTCAACTAATCAGGATAATTTTAAAAAATGGTATAAAATATGAATTTGTGCACAAAATAAAAAAAAATATGAGATTGTAAGAATCTGTAGCTCTGAGCAGGAATGAAAACAGCAGTGACGGCTGCAGAGGTCTGTACGGAAGCCCCGCAGGGTCAGTCCGCTCCCGGCGGTCTACTGCTGGTTAATAAACCCCCTGCTCCTGACTGATACCTTTCCAGAATGAGATGGGTTCTTTAAGTGGAAGCAGGATTCAGATGACATCAGAGTTTAACTCCATTTGAATTGAAATGTTTCCTTATGTTGAAGAAAAGGTTCTGAAATGACTCGGCGCTGTTCGCGACCCCGCAGGTGTTTGATGTGAGGCTGATGGCGCGCAGGGCGGATGAGCAGAAACCTGAGCGACGCTTCTGTCGTTTAAGCTCCGAGGAGCTTTTCGGCTTAAAGCGTCAAAGCAGCGGCGCCATGTCTGCGGCGGCGCAGCGCAACGCAGCGGGGCGGAATCTGCGCAATGATCCTCCATCCGAAGCGCTTCGTGGCTCCATCAGGAGCTGCTTCCTGCCGGGCTGGGCGCAGTCCGTCCCCTGCTCAGGTTTCAGAAACAGTCAGATAAATACGTGCGGGAGCTTTTACGCACGGTGCGTCTCCATCATGACGTCGCCATGAGCTCCAGATTGTAGAGAGGAGGAGGGGAGTGCTGAATCGCTGCTCGTCGTTTCTGTGGATGCGTTTGTGTATCTGTATTTGTGTGTGAGCGTGTGTGTGTGTGAGTGTGTGTGGATTCCCCCCCCCCCCCCTTCTTGTCATCTCTTTGCAATACTTGGAAATAACCCGGACCAGCGCTGTTTACGCGCGGAGCTGCTCGCTCATTTACTGCAAAGCCATAATAACAGAGCCATGCAGAGCGCGAGGAGGATGCACCTTTCTGCCCACTATTCCGACTCACTGGGAGGACTGGCCTGGACTGGGAGCCATCGAACCGACAGTAAGTACCCGAGGTTCGGCTTTCCGGTCCAGATCCACTGCGGCTGCAGCGGATCCGGGCGGATGTGGCTGTGACTGCGGAAGGCAGCGTGCATATCCGATGGAGCCGCCAGGCCCGAGCTGGAACGACGCTCGCGTTGTTCCAGAGATTAGACGGTGACATTCTGGGTCAGGTTTCCCAGCGAGCGGCCGCCCAGGCGGCGGGAGGTTCGGCTTCCCCTGCAGGCCGCCCGGACTCCCTGAACAGGAACCGCCGGGAGCCGCGCCGTGACCCGCGGCTCACGCTCAGCCACGCACGAAATGCAGCATTTTGCGGGTCTCTGCGTGGAGCTGCGGGGTGACGCTGTCCGCGGCGCTGAAACCGACCGGATCGGCAGCTTCGGGCCGGCAGCCCGCTGCTGGGCGGTGGGGCTCCGTCTGTCAGGCCTGCGCTGGTTCCGAGGCGCTGGCTGGGATCCCCCCGCCGTCCTGATGGACCGAGCCGAACCGGTTCGATCTGCTTTCCATCGGGACTTCCTTCAGTTGGCTCATCCGGTTCTCTCTAGGAAGGAGATGAAGAACCAACTGCCATTCACCCTGTCATTAAGAACAAAAGTTCTGATCCAAACCCAGTTACTCCACCTTCCTCAGAATTTTCTCAGATCTGTTCAAGTGTTTCTGGAGATTTTATTGATCTTGTTCTAAGCTGAGATTACAGACCATAAAATGTTTCTATACTTCAGGTGGTTTCAGTCAGTTGTGGTGTCCCACAGGGTTCTGGATCAGGACCCATTGCTTCTCTAAACGACATGTTTAGTTCTGGCATCAGAACCAGCCCTGCTCCGCTTGCAGTACCAGCCTCCCTGCCTTTCTCAATTTAATTCAAATTAAAAATCTTCTATTATCCCGAATGGATTTTAGATCCTAACTCAAGTGTCTTTAAAACACGGCTGTGGCTCCTGATGCTGCGGGGAAGAAGAACCTCCAGTAGCAGTCAGGTTTGTAACCAATCTGAAGAAGCCTCTGACTGAAGACTGTGGGATCACGATGAACTTCCTCCGTCTCTCTGCATCAGGAAGTCCTGGGGTCAGAGTTCAGGGAATATTTTGGTTTTTGAAACAGCATCCATAACCATTAATAATGTTTGGATTAATAATCCACACATGCAACAATTGAACCAGAATAAAGATGAGACAAAAGTCCAGAAAAGAAATAAATCAGAACCAGCAGATCAGCTGAAATATTCTACAAAATCTTTTAGTCGTTTTTAAAAAACCTCCTCAGACGTTAGTGGTTTTATCGACAAGCTTCTATCCATGATTTGGTTTGTTAAGCAGCTGAACTCTGACCTATGAACCACTCAGGCATCAAATATTCAACTCAGGAGATGAGCAGAAGTTTATCCTCCATCATTTAGGACCGACCAGAACACAGAGTCGTTTATTTAAATTGTACTTCAGAGCCAGTTTGATTGTTCTGGAGGATTATTTTCATTAAATTACATGTTTCCTTAATGCACCAACATTGAGTTCAGATCAAATTGTTCACATAACATTTAGCAGCATTTCAATGTTTCCCAACGACAATGAAGAAATTTAACACTGAGAAAAATATTGATTGTAAGTATTAAAGCCTGAAACTAACAGCAAAGAAATCCAGATGGTTTCAAGTCAGAACATCAATGAAATGTTCTGCTGAGCTCTTTACATGAATTAAAGCTCATTTTTCATTTAGAAAAACTTTCCAAGCATAAATGAGTCACAGGTCAAAAAATTCAAACTTGATTTAAAGGAAATATTTTCATCTTTCACCAAAATCAATTAAAACCAACAAATAAAAATGCTTTCAAAAATCAGATGAATAATAGTTTATTGTTAAACTCCAGACTAAAAGCTGGAGTTTTTAGTCTCAGTTTCAATAAATTGCGTTTGGACTGAAAGGTTTGCTGAAGTTCTGCAGCTGCAGGTTTCAGAACAGAACCGACCGGATCAGAACCCTTCTGACTGGAGGAAGAGGAAAGATTCTCATTTTAATGAATAAAACTCCAATTCCCTGCGATGTGAATGTGAAGGATTGGGTCATGACGTCATGACGGTGGGCGGGGCTTATGGGGCCTCCAGGTGTAAATAAACAGTTTTTAACATAAATGCATCAGAAAACCTTTCAGTAAAAGCTCAGCTGCGTCACAAATATGGAGGGAAATTATTTGGTTCCATACTTTGTTTTTTTAAATGTTCTTTTTATTTTATTATTGTTTTTAAATAAATAATAATGTGTAAGAAGTGAGACATAAAGAAAAGAGGCAGGTTCATGTTTCTGCCTTCCTCATTATTAAAAGGTTACCTAAATATATACCCTGGAATTTGAATTATGAATATGTTTGAACTAAATAAATAAGCCAACTAGATGTTTTGGCTGCAGTTGAATTATTCAGATTATCCCTGAAAATCTCATGAGTTTAAGAGATAATCTCATGAGATTACAGACAGACATAAAAATGAAGGAAGAAACTTCATATCAATCTAATTTAATGCATGTAATGTATCATAAAATAATTGGTCTAATATGTCATAATGTGAAGTTTTCCTCATGGATTCAGTCGCAGAAGCCAATCAACTAATTCATGAATTTACCTTGAATATGGAACAATATTCCTGGAAACATTGCGTGGCCACATTGATCCCTGGGAACAGAGAGAGTGAGACGCTGAGAGCAGCAGAGTTACAGTAAAGATGGAAAATGTCCAGTTTGTCTTTCTTTCCTACTTCCTCATTCTTAAACTTTCTTTCTTCCAGATCCAGAAATGGCGCCGATATTGTTTCTGATTATCCTCTGCGCTCTCCCAGCGCTCGTTGTGCCCATGCATAATTCATCAGCGGGAGGTAAGTGGAGTGTGTGTGACGGAGTGTGTGACGGAGTGTGTGTGTGACGGAGTGTGTGACGGAGTGTGTGTGTGTGACGGAGTGTGTGACAGAGTGTGTGTGTGACGGAGTGTGTGTGTGTGTGACGGAGTGTGTGTGTGTGACAGATAGTGTGTGTGTGACGGAGTGTGTGACAGAGTGTGTGTGTGATGGAGTGTGTGTGTGACAGAGTGTGTGTGTGTGATGGAGTGTGTGTGTGACAGAGTGTGTGTGTGTGACAGAGTGTGTGTGTGACAGAGTGTGTGTGTGTGTGTGTGACGGAGTGTGTGTGTGTGACAGAGTGTGTGTGTGACAGAGTGTGTGTGTGACGGAGTGTGTGTGCAGTGTGTGTGTGACAGAGTGTGTGTGTGTGACAGAGTGTGTGTGACAGAGTGTGTGTGCAGTGTGTGTGTGACAGAGTGTGTGTGTGACAGAGTGTGTGTGCAGTGAGTCTTTAACGGACAGCAGATTCCTGAGTGAAGCACTGGAATCTGTGCAGTGAAGCTCAAACCAAAACAGCTGGAGTATCTGAGACGTGTCTACCTGAAGACAGATGTCTCTTCCTGTCCCTCCTGCTGTCTCTTCCTGTTCCTCATGCTGTCTCTTCCTGTCCCTCATGCTGTCTCTTCCTGTTCCTGATGCTGTCTCTTCCTGTTCCTGATGCTGTCTCTTCCTGTTCCTCATGCTGTCTCTTCCTGTCCCTCATGCTGTCTCTTCCTGTTCCTCATGCTGTCTCTTCCTGTCCCTCATGCTGTCTCTTCCTGTTCTTCATGCTGTCTCTTTCTGTTCCTCATGCTGTCTCTTCCTGTTCTTCATGCTGTCTCTTTCTGTTCCTCATGCTGTCTCTTCCTGTTCTTCATGCTGTCTCTTACTGTTCCTCATGCTGTCTCTTCCTGTTCCTCATGCTGTCTCTTCCTGTTCCTCATGCTGTCTCTTCCTGTTCCTCATGCTGTCTCTTCCTGTCCCTCATGCTGTCTCTTCCTGTCCCTCATGCTGTCTCTTCCTGTCCCTCATGCTGTCTCTTCCTGTTCCTCATGCTGACTCTTCCTGTTCCTCATGCTGACTCTTCCTGTTCCTCATGCTGTCTCTTCCTGTTCCTCATGCTGTCTCTTCCTGTTCCTCATGCTGTCTCTTCCTGTCCCTCATGCTGTCTCTTCCTGTTTCTCATGCTGTCTCTTCCTGTTTCTCATGCTGTCTCTTCCTGTTCCTCATGCTGTCTCTTCCTGTCCTCATGCTGTCTCTTCCTGTTCCTCATGCTATCTCTTCCTGTCCCTCCTGCTGTCTCTTCCTGTTTCTCATGCTGTCTCTTCCTGTCCCTCATGCTGTCTCTTCCTGTTCCTCATGCTGTCTCTTCCTGTTCCTCATGCTGTCTCTTCCTGTTCCTCATGCTGTCTCTTCCTGTTCCTCATGCTGACTCTTCCTGTTCCTCATGCTGTCTCTTACTGTTCCTCATGCTGTCTCTTCCTGTTCCTGATGCTGTCTCTTCCTGTTCCTCATGCTGTCTCTTCCTGTCCCTCATGCTGTCTCTTCCTGTTCCTCATGCTGTCTCTTCCTGTCCCTCATGCTGTCTCTTCCTGTTCCTCATGCTGTCTCTTCCTGTCCCTCATGCTGTCTCTTCCTGTTCCTCATGCTGTCTCTTCCTGTTCCTCATGCTGACTCTTCCTGTTCCTCATGCTGTCTCTTACTGTTCCTCATGCTGTCTCTTCCTGTTCCTCATGCTGTCTCTTCCTGTTCCTCATGCTGTCTCTTCCTGTTCCTCATGCTGTCTCTTCCTGTCCCTCATGCTGTCTCTTCCTGTTCCTCATGCTGTCTCTTCCTGTCCCTCATGCTGTCTCTTCCTGTTCCTCATGCTGTCTCTTCCTGTCCCTCATGCTGTCTCTTCCTGTTCTTCATGCTGTCTCTTACTGTTCCTCATGCTGTCTCTTCCTGTTCCTCATGCTGTCTCTTCCTGTCCCTCATGCTGTCTCTTCCTGTTCCTCATGCTGTCTCTTCCTGTCCCTCATGCTGTCTCTTCCTGTTTCTCATCTTGTCTCTTCCTGTTCCTCATGCTGTCTCTTCCTGTTCCTCATGCTGACTCTTCCTGTCCCTCATGCTGTCTCTTCCTGTTCCTCATGCTGTCTCTTCCTGTTCCTCATGCTGTGTCTTCCTGTTCCTCATGCTGTCTCTTCCTGTTCCTCATGCTGACTCTTCCTGTCCCTCATGCTGTCTCTTCCTGTTCCTCATCCTGTCTCTTACTGTCCCTCATGCTGTCTCTTCCTGTTCCTCATGCTGTCTCTTCCTGTTCCTCATGCTGACTCTTCCTGTTCCTCATGCTGTCTCTTCCTGTCCCTCATGCTGTCTTCCTGTTCCTCATGCTGTGTCTTCCTGTTCCTCATGCTGTGTCTTCCTGTTCCTCATGCTGTGTCTTCCTGTTCCTCATGCTGTGTCTTCCTGTTTCTCGTGCTGTCCTCCTGTCCCTCATGCTGTCTCTTCCTGTCCCTCATGCTGTCTCTTCCTGTTCCTCATGCTGTCTCTTCCTGTTCCTCATGCTGTGTTCCTGTTCCTCATGCTGTCTCTTCCTGTCCTTCATGCTGTCTCTTCCTGTTCCTCATGCTGTCTCTTCCTGTCCCTCATGCTGTCTCTTCCTGTTCCTCATGCTGTCTCTTCCTGTTCCTCATGCTGTCTCTTCCTGTCCCTCATGCTGTCTCTTCCTGTTCCTCATGCTGTCTCTTCCTGTCCCTCAGGCTGTCTCTTCCTGTTCCTCATGCTGACTCTTCCTGTTCCTCATGCTGTCTCTTCCTGTTCCTCATGCTGACTCTTCCTGTTCCTCATCCTGTCTCTTACTGTCCCTCATGCTGTCTCTTCCTGTCCCTCATGCTGTCTCTTCCTGTTCCTCATGCTGTCTCTTCCTGTTCCTCATGCTGTCTCTTCCTGTCCCTCATGCTGTCTCTTCCTGTCCCTCATGCTGTCTCTTCCTGTTCCTCATGCTGTCTCTTCCTGTTCCTCATGCTGTCTCTTCCTGTTCCTCATGCTGTCTCTTCCTGTTCCTGATGCTGTCTCTTCCTGTTCCTCATGCTGACTCTTCCTGTTCCTCATGCTGTCTCTTCCTGTTCCTCATGCTGTCTCTTCCTGTTCCTCATGCTGTCTCTTCCTGTCCCTCATGCTGTCTCTTCCTGTTCCTCATGCTGTCTCTTCCTGTCCTCATGCTGTCTCTTCCTGTTCTTCATGCTGTCTCTTTCTGTTCTTCATGCTGTCTCTTCCTGTTCTTCATGCTGTCTCTTACTGTTCCTCATGCTGTCTCTTCCTGTTCTTCATGCTGTCTCTTACTGTTCCTCATGCTGTCTCTTCCTGTTCCTCATGCTGTCTCTTCCTGTTCCTCATGCTGTCTCTTCCTGTCCCTCATGCTGTCTCTTCCTGTCCCTCATGCTGTCTCTTCCTGTCCCTCATGCTGTCTCTTCCTGTCCCTCATGCTGTCTCTTCCTGTTCCTCATGCTGACTCTTCCTGTTCCTCATGCTGACTCTTCCTGTTCCTCATGCTGTCTCTTCCTGTTCCTCATGCTGTCTCTTCCTGCCCCTCATGCTGTCTCTTCCTGTTTCTCATGCTGTCTCTTCCTGTTTCTCATGCTGTCTCTTCCTGTTCCTCATGCTGTCTCTTCCTGTCCCTCATGCTGTCTCTTCCTGTTCCTCATGCTGTCTCTTCCTGTCCCTCCTGCTGTCTCTTCCTGTTCCTCATGCTGTCTCTTCCTGTCCCTCATGCTGTCTCTTCCTGTTCCTCATGCTGTCTCTTCCTGTTCCTCATGCTGTCTCTTCCTGTTCCTCATGCTGTCTCTTCCTGTTCCTCATGCTGACTCTTCCTGTTCCTCATGCTGTCTCTTACTGTTCCTCATGCTGTCTCTTCCTGTTCCTGATGCTGTCTCTTCCTGTTCCTCATGCTGTCTCTTCCTGTCCCTCATGCTGTCTCTTCCTGTTCCTCATGCTGTCTCTTCCTGTCCCTCATGCTGTCTCTTCCTGTTCCTCATGCTGTCTCTTCCTGTCCCTCATGCTGTCTCTTCCTGTTCCTCATGCTGTCTCTTCCTGTTCCTCATGCTGTGTCTTCCTGTTCCTCATGCTGTCTCTTACTGTTCCTCATGCTGTCTCTTCCTGTTCCTCATGCTGTCTCTTCCTGTTCCTCATGGTCTCTTCCTGTTCCTCATGCTGTCTCTTCCTGTCCCTCATGCTGTCTTCCTGTTCCTCATGCTGTCTCTTCCTGTCCCTCATGCTGTCTCTTCCTGTTCCTCATGCTGTCTCTTCCTGTCCCTCATGCTGTCTCTTCCTGTTCTTCATGCTGTCTCTTACTGTTCCTCATGCTGTCTCTTCCTGTCCCTCATGCTGTCTCTTCCTGTTCCTCATGCTGTCTCTTCCTGTCCCTCATGCTGTCTCTTCCTGTTTCTCATGCTGTCTCTTCCTGTTCCTCATGCTGTCTCTTCCTGTTCCTCATGCTGACTCTTCCTGTCCCTCATGCTGTCTCTTCCTGTTCCTCATGCTGTCTCTTCCTGTTCCTCATGCTGTGTCTTCCTGTTCCTCATGCTGTCTCTTCCTGTTCCTCATGCTGACTCTTCCTGTCCCTCATGCTGTCTCTTCCTGTTCCTCATCCTGTCTCTTACTGTCCCTCATGCTGTCTCTTCCTGTTCCTCATGCTGTCTCTTCCTGTTCCTCATGCTGACTCTTCCTGTTCCTCATGCTGTCTCTTCCTGTCCTCATGCTGTCTCTTCCTGTTCCTCATGCTGTGTCTTCCTGTTCCTCATGCTGTGTCTTCCTGTTCCTCATGCTGTGTCTTCCTGTTCCTCATGCTGTGTCTTCCTGTTTCTCATGCTGTCCTCCTGTCCCTCATGCTGTCTCTTCCTGTCCCTCATGCTGTCTCTTCCTGTTCCTCATGCTGTCTCTTCCTGTTCCTCATGCTGTGTCTTCCTGTTCCTCATGCTGTCTCTTCCTGTCCTTCATGCTGTCTCTTCCTGTTCCTCATG